AAGAAGGATGACAACCTTACTGCAGTGAAATTGGCGAATCCTAAAACTATAGAGTATCAGGTCGTTCGTACCTCGCTCTTGCCAGGTATATTGAAAACTGTGAGAGAAAACAAAAAACATGCATTGCCAATTAAAGCTTTTGAAGTATCCGATGTGGTTTTCAAAGATAATTCTTTTGAGAGGCTAACAAGAAATGAAAGGCATAATGTTACATGAATAAATCTTGATAGGATCTACAAGTAGAGGACCTGCATGGTAGAAATCCTGAGTTAGATAAAGTAGTACGGATTTTGACGGTCATACTAGTTAACGTCTGATCTGGAAAAAGAAATCTGCATACGAAAAGATCAGCAAAATAGATACAAGTAAGTCCTGAGTACAGAAGGATTGACAAAACAGGTGCGAGTAAGTCTGTTACATGAGGTCGTATGATAACACCATCCTGGCTTGGTGGCTAACTAGATTTGGGAGGATCTGTCTCGTGTGATATCCAGCAGCAAAGCAGGCGACACCAAGCAACAGATTTGGGAGGATCTACTTTGTGTGATATCTGGAGGCACGGATAACTAACTTGGTGGAAGACCACAGTAGGAACTGGGTTTGTACGAACATTGAACAAGGGTATATGCAAGCTAGATTGGAATATAGCGTAGCATATTTGAGTACTACAGAGCTCATTGATTTGGAAGTTGATGAAGGGGTATCTGAGATGGGCTTAGGCTTCAAATCATAAAGTTTGTGGGCATATGTCAGCTCGGGTGTCTTCCTAAAGAAGTAGCATAAGATTAGGCTGGCTTGATATAAATAGATAGAAATAGGTAAGTCATAGGGCCAAAGGGTTTAAATAGGGAATCTTCAAATAGATTTCAGGTATCGCAACTAGTGTAAAACCTTCGGGCAGACTACTTAAATAGACAATCTAAAGTTGTACATATGACTAGTTGTATCCTCACAATATGTATCATTACCTACTATCAAATAACCAATAAAAGTTTCAGCCAATGGCATTGTATCAATAAAAAAAAAAAAAAAAAAAAAAAAAAAAAAAAAAAATTACTACTTCTACTAATTCTTAATAGCCTATCACAACCATGCTGCACAAAACCATAAAATAAACTTTCTTAGCAAGGAAGAAGCTATCAAATTCTTAACAAAGCAACTCATTGATATATACTTTTTAGCATGCATAATCATATATAATGATATCATACTCAACAACACTCTAATATATAAAACAATAACTGAATTTTACAAAACAACAGCTGTATCAGAAGCTGAAAAGTTCTTAAAAGAAAAATTCAACATTAATTTCTAACTAGTGGAAAAAGCAGATTTACTTTTCTTAGAAACCAAACAAACTCTTCCTTTTCAGTAAGCTTATCTTCTACAAATCCTCTAATTTCTCCTAACCCTGTAGAAGATATTTGTATAGTGGCCCTACCACTAATATATCTGAAACAACAAGGACTACTACTATGTTATAACAAATTTCTAACATACTACAATCTTCCTTTACTAAACAATAACCAAACTATTAAGTCTTTTCTTAATCATTTAGAATCTCAAAAATTTAGGCATAAAACAATTTTTTCTTTAACTCCAAACTTGATGAAGTACATATATATACTCCTAATAATATACATCTACTTAACAACTACTTGTTTATAGAGTCTTACCAACTTCCAACATATTATAACCTACTATTAAAATCACAAACTTACTCAACTACTAATTCTAATCTTAATCTTAATATAGTAATCCATAATGTTTAAGGCTTCAATGTTCTAACCAAAAGATAGCTCTAGGAAGAATATTGTTTAAAAGAAAACTTCAATATTACTAGTATTACTAAAACCAAACTCAATACCTCACGATCTCAAAAATTCCTTAATACTAAAAACTTCTTCTATTTCTAAGCAAGTCTTGAAAACTCAGCAGAAGAAACTTTATTCATAATTAACAATAATCTTAAACTATATATTCATAATGTATTAATACACTATGAAGAAGCTGTTGCTATCAACCTCTTCTTCAAGCATGACTTTAAGTTTAGAATTATTTCAGTTTATCTTTCAACTTCTAACAAACTTCATAGAGACTCTGCTTAGGAAAAAGTTATGATATAGATCTAACAAGCTCTAAGTCTAAACCTTCTCCCAATTGTTCTAGGAAATTTTAATATATCTACTAACTATATATCTAGTGCTTTCTCTAAAACATGTCTATTATCATATCTACATAGTATTAATATATACAATCTAGCTGATCATATAGCTAACCAACAAAATACTTAGCAAAGTAGCAGATATAGTAGTAGGATTGACTATATCTGGGCCTACTATCCAACTATACAATTCTTAATAGAATTCTTTTATGAAGATTCTCTTACTATAACAAATAGTAACTATAAAATTCTAGTTTCAAAATAGTCCTTTCCTTTTGCTCTTTCTGGAAAACTTAGGAATAAAACTAATACTAAATGAAGAATCTTCAACTACAAAGAAATGGCTACAGAATTATAGAAGAATTTGCTAACCAAACAAACTCCAATCTATTAA